CATCATGACTGAATGCTTGCTACTGACACAGTGCATGTTCTTATACCTTGTTCCTGAGAGGCATTCATCAAGATAACGTCTTTCACCTGGTGCCTGTCAACAGTCCCAGCTGCAGCAGCTAGCACACTGATTACAGCATGGGGAGCATCCAATCACATTAGTCCTTACACCCAATTCATTTTTATTCAGCTTCATCAGCAGCACAAAATCACCATTTGTTAATCAATTTATTATCCTGTATGACTACCTGAAATTCTTATTTAAAACACTTTAAGGATGATAGTGCATGGGTTGTCTTACTGGTGTTTTGATTTAGTTTTTGTTATATATCAACATTAATATATGTATACGTTGGGATTCTTTGTTCAACTTCAAGTCATGAAAGAAATAGTTTTCATTGAGAATTAAAAGGAGTCATTTCTAAACAAATGATCATTTGGGGGAAGGTAGTATTCCTTTATCAGATGTCCTGTCCTATTCAAATGTGTTATTTGTATATCTTTGACCTAATGGAAACTTAAGGTAAGGCAAAAAGGTACATTTTTCCATTCATTAAAGTTGTATACAGTGTGAGAAAATATCCACACTCACACACCTGAATATTAGTGTTGCTATGATGTCCTCTTTTAACTGCATAACCACGTGCCATGCAGGCCATCCCTATTGATTTTATATTCATGGCCAGAAAGTAAACTATGCTACATTCAACTGCAGGCATTAGTGCCCAGAAAATAAATTCAGATCAGAATTGTCTTTTCAAATGAGGCTCAATGTAAAATGGAAAGTGAAAGAAAAATTCAGGGGCTATACTCCAACTCACATGGCCATTAAAGGTCACACATAATTAGTAACATTCTACTGCTAGGACAGATGGACACAGTTGAGGACAGTAGGACCTTCATATGAAGTAAAGATACTCGTTTTATACTCCACAGGAGTTAACAGTTTAATTTATACAGAGATTAGAGACAACTTTAATCTGCATATGGATGTCGTCCACCTGGGCCCTCTGTTCAGTCTCCCCAATCTTAGACTGGACTTCCTGTTGAGAAAATGTTTAGCAACGTTAGTCTTATGGCAAGTTTTGAAAAAACTTCAAGACAAATACCATAAATAAATACTCATTAACCTTGGTCAGCAATGGAAACATCTGATGCATTGTGGGCATTTTGTTGCGATGGATCCATTATGATCAGGGGTCCCAACACAGAAATGTGCCTGAAGCCGTTGGATTCTGAGGTGGAAAAAAAACAACAATAACTTCATAATGAAAAAGACTATACTATATAAAAAAAAGCATGCAAGTTAGCATAAAAGCGATACCCCATTCGTCTCCTCTCTTGGAGCGAGTGTTGCAGGTCCTAGAACAGCAGTCACACATGGAGCTCTGCATGGGGTCATCCAGGAGTTCCCATCTGAGGAAGCAGCAATCGTTAAGGCTCAAATACATCAGCATGGCTTTAAAACATTTTGTATACACAGAAGAAAAAAGCTGTTATAAAAATGGTATGATGTTTCTATAAAAAACTAAAACTGGTCAAATTATAAATATCAGGTTAATGACCAAAAGATATATTTCCATCTACAGTGCAGAAAAAGGTTAACATTTTACAAAGGCTCAGGGCTTTTTTTTAATTTTATAAATCTCATTAGGTTGGCTAATCATTTGAGTGCCCCTCTTTTTAAAACAAATATATTGTTATTCTCAAATATTTTACAATTATCATTCGTCACAATTGTTGTCTATACTTTTAGTTAGCAGGAGATCATTTTTTATAGATATATAAAAGCACAATACTGATCAAAGTACATGCATTGATGTACTTCAAGTTGGATATGTTGTGCTAGAATAAGCTAGCATCCTTGGCTAATGGTGCATACTTGTTGCACATGGCATCAGTTGCATTCATCATATTAAACTGCTGGCAAGAACATTTTCACATACTTCCAACATGTCAAACTCTTCCCTTACCGCTCATTTCCCTTTACATAGTGGCAAGCTTTCTTGCTCTCACTTAGAACTTCAGGATCCCATGCGAGCAGTTTGCAGTGAATGTACACCTGAGGAGCACATGAAACATACATGTTTGCTAGGAACCAAATATTCTTTAGAGCACTTTACATTTACCCCCTCACCTCGTCGCCGAGACCAAACTTGAAGGACTGCAGGTAGAGGATGATTGCAGACGAGTGGTACCGAGGGAGAAACCTGGAGTTTCCCTTCACACTGTCCAGGAGACACCTGAAGAAATTCAGATAAGCGATAAGGACTAAACTCCAGAAAACAATGAAAGAAATCAGAGACTGGATCTCACCCCTTATTTGTAATGATGGGGTACACATTGCTGTTAGCCTGCAGCTCAGGCGTAGTGGCTGCCACACATTCCTCCATGAGCAGCAGCAATGGCTGATGGGACTTCTGCTCCACTGTTGCCCATATTGGCATGAAGGAGCCCAGGGGGATGACATTTGTCTCCGCTACCCCTGTTATTTTTTCTGAAAAGGGGAAAAGTCAAAACGGCTTAGTGTGCATTTTTTGAGTGTTTTGCCTTTGGGAGCATGAGCCCTCACCATTTAGGAGCAGCATGTGGAACTTCAGCCCTCCTCGGCCTTCGGCAACACCTGACCCCGGGTTCAGGAAAGGAGGAGCCCACTCCTTAGGTCTGAAATATATTAACAACATTTATCCCATATATCAGCTTTAAACTTGAATTTAAATAAGAAAGCAACTCCTACCTTGGATAAACACACTCGATGGGATACACATAAGCTGCAGGACTCGACTTTGGTCTGGGCCGGAAAGTCAGCTCATTTTTGTAAAGGAGATTTTTCCCTTTCACCTGAAGAAAAAAGAAGCTCATTATGACATTGAAAAGACTGAGAGGTATTTTGGTGAAACATGGCAGTTACATTACCAGTCTTTTAAAATTGCAGTCAGCTAGTTTGTAGTTAAACTCAGCTTTCCCCTCTCCGCTGGGCAGAACATTAAACCTAGATGGATTGCAGTTTCCGAGGAAGAGACGAGCTGCATATTGCCGCAGCGTCGAGGGGATCGTCCATGTGATGCTTATGGAGTCTTTTTCACACTGTACTTTGATTTCTGCAAAAAAATCATTATTATATATTTCCCTACATTCCCCAACAAAAGCAGATGTTTACATACATGTGCTAAGCATACCTGCATTGGCAACAGTCGTTGCAAAAAGAGTCACGACTATCACACCTAGGTAGAGTTGAGTCCCCATGACTGAATGATCTGGATCACACAGGAAGTGGCACAATTTGTAGACTCCCTGCCAAATTAGCTGAACGAGCAACACCTGTGTGAGAGCAGGGCAGCATCTGTCTACTTATACTGGGATGCCATTTCACATACTTGCAATTTCATTGTAGAGTTTTCATCTGGATAATTTCTAGTGCACTTATTCAAGTACATTTTTATTTATCTGCCCAATTGCTTCTTTTTTTTTGTATTCTACTGAATTTATGTTTCAACAATTACCTGATTATTTTACATACAACACTATTTATAAAACAATACAACAATTCAGATTAAACTACTTAAAGGCAATTTTCTCAAATCAGCCCAACCATAACAAGCTTCCAAGTCAATATACCTACATGTTAGTAAGTCAGAGATGTGCAATTACATTTAACTTTTTGTTTTACATTTTTTTTTTATAAATGATTATGGGAAGTGCCCTTTTTCTCACTTGAGCTCCCGCCCCCCAAAATGTCTGTGCAGGTCTCTGGCCCCCACCGTCGGTAAATGGAAGTACTACATAGAACCCTGTTAATTATGTGCAGTTATTTCACGACTTTATTACGGTTTAGTTGAATACTCGATTCTGATTGGTCAATTCAGAACACGTGACACGTTGTTAATCCAGAACAGACAGGCCGCTGTCAAGGACTGAAATGAATAGAGCAGCGTCCTCTGGTGGCCTCTGTGTAGATCAGTCAGTCCAAAAAGAGACTAAAAGATAATAACCAACATTAAAGTGTAAGAGACATTTATTTAAAAATAGTTAGCTTTAGCCTTTTTTATTGAGTTGGTGCGTATGCCCAAAGTGCATCAAGTAGGGGAAGATGTACAGAGTGTAACCCTCCAACAGATGATGTCTTTGTAAGGAGGCTTTCACATCAGAGACCGAGGCCTGGATCCAAGTACACTTGAAAAGGAGTTCTCAAGTTAGGTTCAAATGTACTAAAGTACTGTTCGCTTTAGGTGAGAAAACGAAGTCCTGCTGTGTCTCAAGTCTTTCTTTTCAATACATAAATCTTAGTATCACTTTTAAGAGCACATGAAGACTGCATTATAAGCCTATTAAAAATGATACTAGGCGAAAAAGGAAACTATAAAAAAGGTGAAAGGAAAAAAAATGTTCATGTTTGTAAGGTGTCATGTGTTACGTTAAGCTAATTCCATTGGATGTTGTCATATAATGACTCCTACTGTCCTGTGCTTTAGTAAAACCTCCAGTATGTGAGTGTTGAAGATATGCATAGCATACAGTGTTCTTCCAGTTATGCACTTTGGCGGTGTTGGTGGTGTTCGAGGGAATTTGGGGATCTTTGCACAGATGTATGAGAAAATAAACGTTTTTATTTTATGTACAGTATGTTATTATACAACTGGGATTGGAACTGGCTCAGATTTAGTATTGATTGTTGGTGTTTTGTCATATTCTGTATTTTCAAAAAGGCTCTTTTTAGTCGGAGCCGTTCACCGTCATTGTGAGTGACACCGTGCTGTGTGCCGTCATGAATCACTCTGGAATATAAAACATTTCAGAATCATCCTAAACTTGTTTTCTTTCGCTTTCACCTCATAAATATCGACTCACCTCAAGTCACGTTTCAGTATTATCAGAAATGATTTATCCTGAAAACATGCATGAAAATATCCTGCTCGATCTATTTAACATGTTTTGATTTATTTTGATTTGATAACATTTTAATTACATGTAAAAAAAGAAAATTCACAAAGGACACAAAACTAAATGTTCAAATAGAAAGTTTACTGAACTCAATCAAAATATATATATTTAATTAAAACCAGATTTATTTTGCATCAGATCATTATCAAGCGAGTTTTTGTATAACATTCTTAATTCCTTAATATTCAGTATCTCTAAGTAAAAGCTACATTAAATAAATGTTGTCATATTGACAAAACATTTCTTTAATTGCAATAATTGTAAGCCATATTTATGCATGAAGGTGTAGTAAACCGGCGCCCCTCCGTTACAAAGCACCGTCTGTACAGACTGAGCTACTGCAGCCTAGATCCACTATACAGTTTATACAGAAATCAAATCGGGGGGGCAATGACCAATAAACCTACATAAAGCTGAACTACGTGATGAAGAGATGTATCACCTAAAGTCCTAAACTTCATATAACACATTTTACAGTTGACATTTTAAACAAGGTACACTTCAGCTCTGCAGTCATCATCAGATCATGATCCATGGAGAGACAGAACTCTTCAGGGTGTGCCTCCTCGATGATCAGCCCGTCTAGATACAGAGAGCAAGGGTATATTCTAGCCTGCATCATCCTGGACTGCATCATCCTGGACAGAGAAAAGAGAGCAGGAGGTGAAAAAAACAAACACACTAGCAGCCTGTCTGGCCAAAGGCCTGGTGCATTGAGCACAGAGCATTTATATTTATTTAAATAAAAGTGATGATGATTTTTAACATAAAAAGGACATTCTAATATCAAAATAGGTTTAAAAATCCAGTCTACCATGAACACTAAGATAAAGCGACTTGCAGTTGCTGATTTAATAGAAACATTTTAAGCACGTGGCCTGTTGCAAGTTATTAAAAACATTTGTTTTCATTCTTCATAATCAGTAAACCTGCAGATTTTAACTTTAGAGGTTTTAATCTGATGTATACCCTAACCCTAACATAAGTTTAGAAAAAACACAACTGTTACCACACGACTAAGATTGTGCATTCTTGTTGCTCGAACACAGAATAAAGTCAAGTAATGCAATTTTTGGAAACTGCTCATAACATTTCACCTGCTTATCTTCCTACAAACAATATTTTGCTGCAGGCCTTGAGGCCGACTGAATGAAAACATCTCTTGTTATTATTTTTGTATTCTTTACCTTTATTAGCGGTTTTAGTCGGTCAGGGTTGACTTCTGGTCCTGCAGTGGTGGGCAGTGGCCGTGGCTTCACTGGCAGGTCTGGCGGGTCTTTGTCAATCAGCTGTCTGGCAAAATCGAAACACTTTTCCCATTCGTTCACACTGATTTTGCTCATTCCTTCAGTCAACCTCTCTTTTGCTGAATTCCTCAGAACCTCTTTCAGCAATTTTCCCTCCTCCATCATAATCAGTTTGTCATACAGAAATTCTTTCCCACAGCATTTCCATCTTACAAGCAATGGCAAGACGAAAGCCCCTAAAACAATTCCAGATATAATCCAGCCACCGATACGCTAAAGAAAGAAAGAAAGAAAGAAAGATGGTTATAACACAACAGCATTACTTCAGATAAACTGTAACTGATGCTGATAAAGTAGATCCAGAGTGGAAGCACTCACCCGGGATGAGTTCTTCAGTTCAGCTTTGAGACCTGTATCGTTGAGAGTGATATCCTTCTCAGCTTTGCAGGCTAACTTTGCCTGTTGTTCAGAGCCGTCATTCTTACAGCAAACATACCAGTCTCCATCGAGGTACAAAAAAGCAACCCACAGCAAGGCGACTAAAAATGCCCTTAAAATGTGTTGGATCAAAAACCAGCAAGGACTGCAGGAGCATTTACAATGTGAGCAATAGTATCTACAGACTCTTTGGAAAGACCTGTCCGCCAACAGCATTAATAAAAAAATTATAAAGGGTGGCAGATACATGTACAGGTTGCAGGTCGGTACTTGTGGTTTGCAGGAGCAGGAAAAATCCCTGTCGAGCAAAATAGTGAAGGTGAAGATAGATATGATCGCAGCGTAGGTGCTCATCTTCCCAGTGGCGATTTTTGTTATAAGGCTCTGCATCTTTGATGTGCAGCTGGCATCAACTGACAACGATCACAGTTCTGCATCTGCACATTTATATATACCCACAAAAAAAGCATTTCCTGTTCGTTTTTAGAAGTAGTGACAGGGATGCTGGCACCGTATTATCTTGTGAACCCCACATGTGTGTCATCATGGCACACCCAGATCTGTGTATCAGCGATAGCATTGCAACCGCCAATAAATGCTGTGCTGGGTTGTTAGGTTGAAAAAGACAAACTGTCTATCAAAGCAGGGGAAATGTGTCTCACCAGATTGGGAGCAACAGCTTTCTGTGACAGAGATGGCCATCAAACATCAAAAACATTACGTTAACCTCTGCGCAGACTTGTTTTTTTGCAGCTCACAGCTCAATTTCTCTTAATGAAGTCTCTATGAACACTAGGCTTCATTTTATAATGTATGCATGTTTTTTCTTCAACAAGTTCTTTGAGAAAAGTCTGTTTCAGATTAACAACATCGTTCACACCTTTTTTCTACTAATACTGCATCCCACTGTCATTAATATGTAAGGCGTTACCATTATCCTCAATAGAGTGGTGCAGGGATGACGTATTTACCCGGAAGTAAGCTCCTCCCGGTCCCCTCAACAAAAAAGAAATGGGATTTCTCCATAGGATTTTGGAAAATAGCTCGAAATAAGATCTGTGAAAAACGAACCTGTTTGATAAATACACGTTTTGTTCAGCCGGATAATCTCCACATGTCTACCCTACTTTTATAATTTTCCAATCATAAATCTAATCACTAGAAGCAAAATGCTAACGTTATGCTATAAAGGAACTACAGCCGAGTACAGCAGCACGACTTCAACGTCACGCCAACTTAAGATCCATATTCAAACATACAGATTCTAAATGGTTCAAGTTGAAGCGTTTGTTTGAACAGTTTGCAGGAGGCAGGTACTTGCTTTCAAGCAGAACAGGGCAAACAAACTTAGAGGAGTGTTTACGTGTTCGGTGTAATGACGTACAACGTCTTCCACAACTTCTGTAGTCCTATTCAGCCACTTGGTAACAACCATCGTTTTTCAGACACGTCAACTCTTCCGAAAAATAAAAATTATTATGAATACAAATAAAATAAAAGAAGCCTCCTGTGAGTTACTACAAGCTATAAAGTAGATTTTAAAAACGTTTTATAGAATAAAAGCTCACTGCGGGACGTTGTAGAAATGCGTGTGTGCACCACGACAAAGGAGCCTCATTCACTTTACATTGGGGTTGTGGTAATGTACAATGTAGCAAAGTTCGTGACTCCACCACGCACTGCAGTGTTAAGGAGTCGTGGTGGAGTCACGCATTCTGGTGAGACCAAGTTGGCCTTTAAGCACAGTGCACTGTAAAAAAAGGACATAATATGCTCATTTTCAGGTAGAAACTCCCTTTGGAGGGAACACTTAGCAGACCATTTACATGCACAAAAACCTATATAAAAGACTACAGGGAAGGGAAAACTGCAAAAGCATAATAGGGCCCATTTAATTGAATGTAATGAACTTGTCTTTAGCTGTTTAATCACTTGTATACAGTAGTTTCGGCTCACAGTGTATGTTACATTTATTTTACGATATTCTGTAAATCCATTGTTCGAAAAACAAAACAATCAAAGTCCGAAACAGGTTTATTGCCAAGTAGGTTTACACATACAATTTGCATTGGTGTTAATGGGGCATGCATAAACACAGTAACAAAACCAATACAACTAAATTATCTCAAATATACAATTACATTGCATCCTGACTTATGTTAAAGTAATAATGAAAAAGTAATAAATCATTCAGCATGATTTGTTTTTGTAACAGAGTATTTTTACATTTAGTATTGCTACTTTTATTTTAATTCTGAGTACTCCTCCCTCCTTTTTCTGTCAGAGCTTGTGGACCCTCAAAACTTGTTGATAAACAACCTGCAATTGGAGAGAAAAACAAACAAACAGAAACTTTTAAAATATGTCCTGTGGAACCTGTTTTCAAATACTTACAAAATACAGACATACTGATAGATAAAAGTGGATATATTCACCTCTTCCTCCTTGATCCTGAAAAAGTGTTCATAAAATAGTGAAAGCTCCATTCTAAGAAATACATAATTAAAACAATTGAAATTACATCAAATGAGCACGTGTATGTCATTTACTCCATTATGTTCTGGTACTAAGTGTATTTCTGTATTAAAGTGAATGATAAGGATAACTTATCTTATGTATATATATCATATTATATTTTGAATTAATGTATTATATGAATTAAAGGAATCTGTATTCCTTGTAAGAAACACGAAGAAAAAAAAACATGTTCTTGCTTAATATTCAAATTCTTAGCAGTTTGTTTATAACTGTTTATTTGTCTATTTGTGTGTATTTGTGTATAGATGTTATAACGATACAGAGCTTTGGCAAATTTAACAGCTTGGGCTCTTTATGTAGGAAACTACAAAGCAGAGTCCTCCTTCTGAAATCTTAACATTTTTTATTTTCTTTACCTGGCCCTCTGTTTTTTCTTCCACTTGCTTTTGTGGATCAATCAGCGTTCCAGCAACATCGAAACACTCTTCCCATTTTTCATCACGGATTTTACTCTTGATTGCTTTGGTCAACTTCTCTTTTGCTGAATTCCTCAAAACCTGTTCCAGCACTTTGCCCTCCTCTATTATAATCAGTTTTTCATACAGAAATGTTTTGTTGAAACAACATGAGTTTTCATTCTCACATTTGCATTCTTTAAACAATGGCAAGACGAAAGCCACGAAAACAATTCCAAATAGAATACAGCCACCGATAACCTGAAGAAAGAAAGAAAGAAAGAAAGAAAGATAGTTATAATACAACAGCATTACTTCAGATAGAACTGATGCTGATAAAGTAGATCCAGAGTGGAAGCACTCACCCAGGATGAGTTCTTCAGTTCAGCTTTGAGAACTTTCTCGTGGTCGTTGATTTTCCTCTTATCTTTGCAGGCTAACTTTGCCTGTTGTTCAGAGCCGTCATTCTGACAGCAAACATACCAGTCTCCATCAAGTAACAAAAAAGCAACCCACAGCAAGCCGATTAAAAATGCCCTTAAAAAGTGATGGATATAAAAAGAGAAATGACCCCAGCGCAGTTTACAATGTGAGCAATGGAATCTATAGACTCTTTGGAAAGACCTGTTCGTCAACAGTATGATAAAAGTATTATAAAAGGTGGCAGAAGCATGTAGAGGAAGCAGATCGGTACTTGTGGTTCGCAGGTGCAGGAAAAATCCCTGTCGAGCAAAATATTGTAGGTAAACATAAATATGACCGCAGCGTAGTAGCTCAGCTTCCCAGTGGCGATTTTTTTCATGAGGCTCTCCATTTCTGATGTGCAGCTGGCATGAGCTGGCAATGATCAAAGTTCTGCATCTGCACATTTATATATACCCAAAAAATAACATGTCCTGTTTTTTTACCAAGCAGCGACGCTGGTATCGTGACAGGACGGGACTCTGGCATGGCAAACACCATTTTTCACAGCGATAGCATGACAACCACCATTTCCTCAAATGTCTGTCTCCTTGTGTCTTGTTTTACATAGTTGTTTTTATCAGTCTTTGATTCAACACTATCAGATATATGATCATAGATTCTTCTTTCAAAGGGGGGCCACAGGGGGGTTCAAGTCAAGACCAATGTATTTTTCACTGAAATTTGTTCCAGTTCTGTCCTGGGGATATTTCAGTTTGTAGTGCTGGTTCACACTAAGAACAGAATTTGTTCTCGACCGACCAGAACCTGAAAGAAGCCACATTATAACGTCCGTGTTAACGCCAGCGCACACAATGATAACAAATGGGCACATGTTAGCAAATGTGTTTTAAGTATAGGGAATATTAGAGAATAAATTACAAGTGTGACTGGTTTATGTCGTGCCATGTTTATATTCATGTTAGTGGTGCCATTCTAGAACTTTCCAATCTCGGCACTACTAATGCTGCAAAAACGTTATAGTCTCGCCATGATCTACGCAGTGAAATTGTGTAAATGATTGATATCATTGATATTTGGACTAATAATTTTACTTAATTAAATGATCTTAATACATTCTCAAGTAGTGGTACAATTTTTTATTTGTTCAGACCTTGTTGATGCAGAATAACTACGTGTCTTGTTGCCGTGCTCAGTCGTGCCATGGTGTGTGAGTGACTTGGGAAATGAAACTGTCTTCCAAAACCTCACTTTCGTAGCAGTTTGTCTGTTCCTCACCCAGTTTAACCCTCCTACAAAGCTGTTTCTGTTTCAGTTAATGACTGTTTTTCAACGTGTGAAATTGATGATCATTAGCACTTGCTTGGTATAATTGTTTGAACATACACCTGACTATAATCCTACAAAGTCCCTGATGTCGTGCAAGCATTTTACTATGGAGCTTTATCAGGGTCCAAAGTTTTGATCATTCAAAAAAATACGATTTATCTGAAATTTCAAGTTTTTATCCTGAACTTTGAAAAATTCAATGATGTATTCAAACTAAAAATAAGTATTTGAAAAATACAAATTCAGGTTGAATATTATTTTGATTCACTTCAGCAATCTTTTGGAATTAAATATTTTAATTAAATATATATTTTTTCACTTTCAGATCCTTTTTTCTCTTTCAGATCCTTTTTTCTCGCCTTCAGTCGTCCCTCGCCTCCACGCCCTTTCCCCCAGAGATCAGATTGCTAAACCAGTTCTGCCAGGCAAGACAAGGCACGTTTATTTATATAGTACCTTTCAACACAAAGCAATTCAAAGTCCTTTACAAAAATGAAACACATTAAAGTTCACCTATCATGCAAAATCCACTTTTTCCTGTCTTTTCTATAAACATGTGTCCCCTCTTCTTCATGTCTCTTCTACATCAACATGTGTCCCCTCTTCTTCATGTCTCTTCTACATCAACATGTGTCCCCTCTTCTTCATGTCTCTTCTACATCAACATGTGTCCCCTCTTCTTCATGTCTCTTCTACATCAACATGTGTCGCCTCTTCTTCA